CTTGTAGGTTATTTTAAAGCAGGATACGCAAAAAATGTGCAATGACCTCGCGGGGACTTGAACCTGGACCTCTCGAATACGCGTCAGTTGTGCTACCATTACACCACGAAGGCACTGTAGTGTCATTAGGTTCTTTTGTGGGGAAGCAGGACTACATGAAAAATAAGCATTGGCTCTCTCCGGGACTCGAACCCGGATCTCTCGAATACGCACCGAGTGTGTTATTGTTACATCACGAAGGCATGCAGAAAGGAGGGAGAAAATACTTTATAAATTCCCCCTTTTAACGGGCGACTGGGGATTAGGGAACCCAATGGCCAAATCCTGGTGGTGAAGAATGATCATCCACAGCCGTTTAGTTCGGGTGCCACTGTAGAGTCATTTTTTGAAACAGCAGTACGGGGAAAATAAGTAGTACTCTCGGCGGGACTCGAAACTGAACCTCTCGAATACATGCCTAACGGTTACTCCACGAAGGCATGCAAAAAGGAGGGAGAAAATATCTTATATAGCATGCTGGAAGGAGAGAGAAAATACCTTATATCTGTTTGGATGGAATGTTTATTTTTGTCAATTAAACAATCGTTCTCCTTCAAAAGGTGAAATAACGCCATGGCTACAAGACGAGGAAAATCTGGAAAACTGGCTTGAACTAGTGAGACACTCCCAGACCTTTTTCTTAGCTTCATTTGATAGCAAACCTGCTGTTAAATTATAATTTAATTAGGATTTTTGCAGAATTAAAAGTTACATGGTTATTAGTGGTTTGTAGAATAGTCGTTCCTTTCTTTGCGAGAAAGTCGGCTCTTTCATTTCCCTCGATGCCACAATAAGCAGGAATCCACTGCAAGACATTTGAGTCATCCAGACTAATGAGAATCTTCCTACATTTGTAAATTCGTTCGCAAGTGTAAAATTTATTGTTGGAGATAGCCTGCAAAGCGGCTTTGCTATCAGATGGAATTTTATGTTTTATGAACTGTTGAGATCTGGTGAACGAGCAGGCCATTTCATGACTCCAAGCTTGGTCTAGTGCTTTTCAAAACGTAAATTTATAGCTGTGGATGTGTAATTCTTATGTAAACTAACTAAGCTCGGTAGAGTAAACGTATAAAGTGAGTGGTAGTAAAGCATATGAAAGTACGCTATTTCTAACCAAGCTCGTTTAAGCATATATGTATTTTTTTCACATGGTATTAGGTTATTGACTCATCATTCATAGAACCGAAATTCCACTTGTAATCTCTTTACTTTATGCGAAGATCAGCTGAACGCGCAACATTATCAGACGAATCCATTCGTTTGTTGCTTCAAATGATAATTCGTTTATTGCGTCCAGTGGCTATGTTCTCATGCCCAGGTGAGGTACAGTGTTCTGTGTCATGAGGCAAGTAATACGTTCGTACTTGGCTTCGACAGTTAAAACCCATAACCTGCATGTAACATTTCCTCTCGCTGAAGATCACACAGAGGGCAGCGTTGAGTTGCTATTTATTTACTTCTATGGTGCATATTTGTTGTTTCAAATCATTCTTGACAGAAAAACCTTGGCATGATGATCTGAAGTCTTTCGATGGCTCGGATAGGTGTTTTGTCGGAGTGACTGTATTCCATATTTTTCCTACGTTTCTGAAGTTCTGTGATCCATCTCAGTATAGCACCTGTTAAGCATTCCTCATTGAAAATCCTTCAAGTCATGATAATCTGCCGTTTTTACTGTGGAACGAGATTCCTAAGCTTCTACGACCATCTGTCGCTATATAGCCTCATGGACCTTATAAGAGATAGACTAACGCAGTGGGCGAGGCGCGCGTCACCGACACGTCGGCAAGAAAGACTAGGGACGATCAGGTTTACTTTAACACTGAAGCCTATGGCATTTGTATCATATAACTCTTTTTAATTATTAAATGTGATACGTTGTATAGTGCTGAGATTATGAAAGCCACAGTTTTTTCCAAATAGGATTTAATATATCTCATTAAAGCACTTTTTACTGCACTTCGCGCATTTTTTTCACGCGTAATTCTTGTACAAACATCTTTACTTTGGTAAAACGGTAAAAACTCTAAGCACAAAATTTATGAACTTAATTTTTTGTAAAAATATAAAGTAAATTAAATAAGATTGATAGTAAGTTATACTTTGAAATAAATAAGGTAAAATTAAACAATATGTGATATTTTTTTTTAAATTTGATGAACATTTTCAGGCAGTGATTTTCCAAACTATACATTACAAAACGATCATATTTATTTGATTATATGATCATTAAATTATTAAAAATAAAGTGGATTAGTTATTTTAATAATTCTTAAAATTTGGAGCATAAAATTTTCTGAGCGTAATGAAGGGGGAAAAAAAGATAAAATAAAATCTAGAAGCACTCAGATTTTATATTACGTCCAAAAGGAACCTTTTTTTAAAGTTTTGTGTGTTACCTATATTTATTGAATATCATGTTCTTCGCCCGTAAACCTCATACATTTGAAAACAGCATATCTTTAGAATTTCCGCACTGGAGATAAAACTGTTATTTTCCGTACAATGCTCGCCCTGAATTCGTTGAGTTTGTTAATCAAAAATTCGTTAAAATTTTACAAAATATGGAATAGATTAAAACAAATTTGAAATTCGGCCGTCCAGATGCCCATGTTGGGGTGGAGGATTACATTATTATTCAAATTTGATGGCCCTAGATACTGTCGTTTTTGTCACAGTGCGAGAAATAACATGTATTCAGCAGATTCTTCATTATTTAATTTCTTTAGCATATAATACAGGGCGATAATATTTGGTAACAACAATTTGCAAGGAGACACGGACATTTATAGTAAAACAGCGCAAAATGCCGCTTCAAAAATTACAGCCTTTCTAGGCTAACCGCGGCTTTGGGCTAATAAATTAAATTAACAGTAAATAAAAAAAAATCTTATGCAGAACTAAAAATAATTTTAAAAAATAATCACTATAAAATACAAGCAAAATTAATTATTATGGTTAAATACAATTTTAATATTAGAATTAAATGTATAAAAATTGTTAAGGAGTCAAAAGTGTTTATCACTATGATGTATTATGAAATATAATTGAAATAAAATTCCTTTATAGAAATTGTGCTGTAATCTCATCTATAATTTTAAAAAAGTAGCACAATTTAGAATTTAAAAAAAAACTTTCAAAAATTTGTTTTTAAATATTTTAGTATTTTTTACTTATTTACACCAATAAAAAGCATAAAAATTATTGCAAGAGAAAATTGCTTGTTTGAAATTTTCTATTAGTTCAGATTTAAAATATTTTTTCTAAAAGAAGTAGTTACAAATTGCCTTACAGCATAGGAAAAGCTAAAAATATCCAGCCCTGAAAGCATGCAATAGCTTTTATAATTATTTGGAACGTTAATTATGCTTGATAAATATGCTAAATTTTTAAAACCAATCTCAATTTCAAAAATAAAATGTGTAGAAATTCTAATTTGTGAAATGAGGCGCTACAACCAGCTTTTTCTTGAAAATTATACACGCTGCAATAGGCAACCAATGTTAAATTTCTGTAAGTCGTCCCTGTTCCTCCGGATGTGATCAATGTGACAGCCGGCAACGCCTCAGACGAGGGAGAAAACCCGTTTGGGTTAGTCTATTTCTTATAATGTCCATGTATAGCCTGAGCAAAACTGAAATTCTAGCTATAAAGTCGCGTTCGGAAAATGACGAGAATTTTGCTTTAACAAAAGGTCATTTTGAAATATGCAAATAATTACATACTATTCCCGCATTTTCTGTAACTGATATAAGTTGAACTCTGTCGAGTGTTTGTTTTTTCTTTCAAACATATCTATGGAACAAAACGCTTTTTCAAATTAAATTTTAGTTAAATTTCTTTTCAAAGTTCAGTCATATTAAGTAAAATGCTTATAACCCGTCTTCGCAAGCAGTATAGCCAGGTAACGGATTTTAAGACAGAGAGAGAAATTTGTTTGTACTGGTTAAACAATGGTATAGGAGTATGTTTGAATAGAGATAACTCAACGGTCCATTGATGAGTACAGAGCTAAATTTACAGAGTTATGTGCAATTAGTCTTTTATGGGCCAGCTACAAATTTAACAATAAACGCTTTTCAGCCCAACATCGAATCATTTATTTCTGTAATTATTGCTTACATTTGATCTGAAATCTTGTGTTCCGAATTTGTTACAAGCAAACGGAAATGATCCAAGTTAATAAATTTATGATCAAATAGGACGGAGAATTTTCGAAATGAAATAGCATCATCTTCAGCAATAAGACCCACTTTTGCTTTAACTCCAACATAACCAAATATTATTTGCACGCATATGTGGGTAACAGAACAATGTAGCCAAAAATAGCAAACAGCACACATCTCGAACACGGAACACAATGGTTCTTGATTTTAATTTTGGGAATTTACTTTTGCAAATTACTCCTATTTCATAGTTCCCTATAAAAAGCTGCAGGTTTCCTGGAAATTGCTTCTATCCTCATGAATTGTCTACTCTCCTTTGGAAATAAATGCGCCTTTAGTAGAGATTCTTCTTTTATTCATTATTTATTCTCTCTTCCTTTTGTTCAAAAATTACCGTCTACTAAAATACTTCGAACAGCCTTTATTTCTGCCCACTCTCAAAACTGTTTGTTATTGGAGGTTGAAATTCACTGGTGTCTTCTTCCAAGGATATAGGAATTTAGGAATTATCAATTAATTGTGAATATCCGCTAAATTGGAGTGACCATTCATGGAGATTCGAATGAAATTGATCAAATATTTTAACGGAATAAAATCCCAATGTATAAACGTGTTTTAATTATTAAAAAAAGCAGATTGCTTTTCTTTACGCATTTGTTTAAGAAGATAACCTTCACAAAGCAGATTGCCTTAGTAAAGTATTCATTGGAACTATTAATGATGATATCGAAAGTGTACTATGGCTTTCATCAATTTTCAGGATCACTTAAAAATATCTCTTGTTTTTTACAGGTGGTGAATCGATACCGAAAAAAGGAGGAGTTGGACGAGGCGCTGGGCTCCAACAAGCTCGATTTCCATACATCAGCGAAAGCTTTGAGAGTCTAGAGAGTGATGTCATCGTGCCTCCGGCGCCTCCACCTGTTCCCATGCATATGAAGGAGCGCCGTGATCTGTCTCCTCCACCTCCGACATATCGGATCGTGGGCGGAAAAGTTGTCGCCAATCCCGCCAAAAATGAACCTTCTTCTTTAGAGAGGTTGGAATCCCAAAGGCCTACCTTAGACACTAAAGGTGGCAGCAATTACGGTCGTTGGGGAACACCTGAAAATGCGCCTACGAAATCAGTGCCTCCCCCTTCCAGTTATTCCCCATACAAGCCTGGTGAGAAAACAAAACCTCTCGCTGAAAAAAATACAACCGGACCAACGGATGTGAAAGCTAATTTTCTACGAGGTCCATTAGAAGCTGGAGCTCCTAGGTCTGCTTTCACGCGATCTCCAGGTGAAATAGGTCTTCCTAAATTTGGAATGGCTAGAGTGACGCCCGATGGACCGCGTGGTCCGCTGGCTGCCAAAGGGGCATCAGGCAGTGCAACAGAAAAGGGTCTGCCTTTGGCGACGTTCCGAAGTCCCTATGAAGACCCTTCATATCCCAAAGGTTATCGAACTGGTACGCCTAGAAGTATTCGCAACAATCCCGAGCCTTTGAGGGCACAGGCCAGCACAGAGCCTAGCGACAAAGACTCTTCCAGAGCTCATAGTGTCGCTTCGACTTTGTCGGCCCCTGACGTCATTGGCAAACGTTGACTTTCTGAGAAGTGAGATCTCAGGTCTAAGCTAGTCGAAACATCGCTATCTACCAGGCGAATGGAGATTTGTGAGCTGTTGGAAAATATCATTTCTATGGCATGCACAATCGTTTGACTCATTAATCCTCCTTTTATCATGGACTTAGTAGTATCACCTTTTACATTTACCTTAACATTTCTTTAATACGAGTCTTCCTTGTCCAACTTAGGATTATCACGGATGATCCAAAACTTGCGATATTCGCTCCAGTACGGAACAGCGATAAGCCATACTGCAATATTTTACTCAGGCAGCAACTTTTTATTCTTCATTGTTATTAGATAGTTTGTAATTGTTCATAGTGCACTTTGTCCGAATATTTGAAATTTTTCACCAAACATATGTGTCTTTATATGGAATCCTGTGCTTATAAGGAATGTGCTTCAATGAAAGTGTCCTTTAATGGCACTTCAGAAGAATGGAAACGTTTTATGTATATGTGATAAATATTATGTCCAGTTCCAGATTGATTAGATAAATACATAGATGTTAGAAAACTGCTGGTAAAAAGAGCAGTATCATTTTCGATTTATAATTTTATAGCTACCTTATGCTTGTGAATGAAAAACCTGTCTTACCACCTTTTCAAGACCGTACATGTGTTGGGGTTTAATTCTTCTGTAGCGCTTCTCAAATGAGCGATGTATCTTCCTAACATGATTAGCAAGATATCAGAATAGATTTTTTGTTATTTGTATTCAGCAAATGCTGTAAAAATTATAAATTATATAATAATGAAAGTTTATATATTCTGAAACTGAGAAATGTATTCCTATTAAGCATATGAATATCACCCTTTCTTACAAACAGGATACTGAATGCATGTAATGATTAGATAAAAAAAATATTTGTTAAAAGAATGAATGAAATTAAGAGGGCTTTTAATAAACTTGAGATGCAAATTAATATTTCGCAGACTTTTTGAGCTTATCAATATTATAATTATTAACAAGATTTGGATAAACTTCTGAGTGATATCAGCGTAAAATAAATAATCATAATTTCTAATTTACTAATACAGTGCACCGAATGTTTTAGAATATTCGCTTTTTAAATATTAGTGGATTACATATATTATGCTCAAGAAGTTAGTAATTAAAGTTAGGCAAATCATCAACCTTATTTTGGCGTAGATTTTAAATACAAATTATTCGATTTCGAGGGCTGTCAGACACTGGTGTCCTTTCTTCAGGAGCAGAAACAATTCTGTTAAGTTTTACCCTGGCGTGTTTCTCTTCTTATTTGATATTTGTAATTATTTAAAAATAGTAAAACTCAAACTTAATTTTGCATTGAATTCGAATGAAAAGATTTAATGCAGCGATTCTAAAACGTATTGTGATCCGCGAATAATCAGGGATCCAGGAATGAATTTTTAAGTTAAAATTTGATTTTGTATCGAACCCGAATATGAAAAATATAATAAAAGTATATCATTAGTTCACAATGAAGAATCCGATAAAATGCCCATCATATGCAAAGGATCATCAATCATCACAGTTTAAAAATAGATGATTAAATACGTTTAGAAGTGTCTTACTGGTAATGAAAAAAATCATGTCAGATCATTTCTTGAAAAGTTTTCATATTAAATTAACGTCCGCCAAAGCTGAATTTGAAAAAAAAAATCTTTTCTTTTAGCGCAAAGGACGGTTAGCCAGAAAGGCTATTAGTCTCAAAACGGCAATTTGCCTCGAATCTAAAAATCTGAATCACTTTTTCAAAATGTTGCCAATAAATATTATCGCTCAGTATTATATTTAAAGAAATCAAGTAATGAAGAATCTGCATGAATGTATGCATGTTTTTCGCATTGTGAAAAACCAACGGTACCTAGAGCCATCCATTTTTTAATAACGTACACCTTCACTCGAATATGAACACCTGGAAGCCCGAATTTTGAATCTGTTTTATTGTTTATTTCATATTTTGTTAAACTTTAACGAATTTTTTATTAACAAACTCAACGATTTCAAAGCGAGCAATGGTAACACTGTACGGGAAAAAAAGCATTTTTATTTCCAGCGAGCAAGACTGTCTATCGGAAATTTTAAATATAGGCTGTTCTCAAATATTTTTAGCCCAAAGGGAGATTAGCCCAAATGCTCTCGAAACGTGTATGTGTATTATATAAATGAAAAAAATGCCCTTTTGGGCGCAATATAAAATCTGAAAGCATTTTTTTTTTTTAATTTGTTCTTTGATTTCAAATTTGGTAACAAAAATCTTCTGGAGGTATAAATCTATTACTGTCAGATTTCTAAAGACATATTGTAGCGTTTCACATAATTTTATACTGTTAAAAAAAATCTTTATACTGTATAATATGCTTCTTTCATATGTGCAGAGCCAGTGGAAGTGCGTCTGCAAGGCCTTTATCGTAGCCAGTTACCACCAAAAAATGGGCGTCTTTTAAACAGTTCAAAATTAACAGTTTATTACTATTAATGAAGCCACAAGAAATAATTCGGAAAAAATTAAAACACAAAAGATGGAATTATTAAAATACACTCAATATCTTTATATATAATATCTTTATATATATAAGCGGCTAAAGTGTGTGTCGCCGATAGTTTATTGTTGCCACTTAAAAAAATGAGCGCGCAAATTAATGTTTCCGCAGTTTTTAATTAATATCTCAGCCGATTAAAGTCGTACGAAGATGAGAACGGTATCAATAGATTCGGACACCTTTTTGGAATTCGAGGATATGCGTCTCGAATTTCAACTCGGCGCCGTTCATAGATATTCGAGAAAAAAGAATTTGGCACGTAGCCAAATCCCTGTAATAGGGAAAACCCAAGAAAAGAAAATGGAAAATGTAGGGAAAAATTAGTTTTTAATTAATATATCGGCTAATTAAAGTCCCACGAAGACGCGAAGGGTCAAAATGGCGTGCCACGGACCTGCGGAATCCTACGGCATGCTTCGCTAAGACCGGGAGCCAGTCGTTTCGGAGGAGATGATGTTACTTCACCCCATATATATATATATGCGACTTAAGTGTCTGTTTGTCGCCGAGAGTTTATTGGTTGCTTGCGTAACTGTACTAGCCAATAGGGTGAAGCTGTTACGGCACGGGTTGCCGTTTCAATTGAGACGTAGACAATTTCCTGTAAAACTTGCCTTTGCTATGACCATCAATAGGTCTCAGGCCCAAACGCTTAAGCGTGTTGGCATTTTTTTATCTGAGCCTGCATTTGGACACGGTCAACTTTATGTTGCCTGTTCAAGAGTTCTGTGAAAGAACGGACGTAAAATTAAAAATAATGGTTGATGTCCTCTTGCAAGGCGAGCTTAAAAATGATGGAAAGATCTACACAAGAAATGTTGTGGTACAAAGAGATCTTTGACATGTGAATTAACATTTTATTATTTAAATCACATTTATTTATTGAGATAGCGGTGGCTCTTAAGAAATGTACCACCAGTGGTTTCCTTCGTTGCACTCTACTTTAAGCAATTAAGAAAGTAGAAGGGGGAAATCCCGTGGAGCAGTAAGAAAAGGGGCGTCTTTGCCGCCTGCCCTGGGTAATTCAGTTTAAATTAGCAGATACCTTTGCACAAATCATTTTAATTACAATTTATAATATCTAGAACAGCGGTCATTTCGTATGACGGCCGGGCTTTCTAATATTTTCATAACGAAATTGAGCTTTACTACACATCAAGTGTAGTTAGGAATTTAATATTAAAAGTTCTGAAATTTTTTAACCCTGTTACCCGCTTTGCACTGATTTGCACCGGTGATGTTTCTTGGTTGATTGAAAAATCACGACATGCGGCGTCGCTCCGTCTTGACACGAAATAAAACGCTCAGAACTTGCTAATAAATTAATAGCTAATGTGTTTAAGACCACTAGTATAATTCAAATAATTTATAATAAGTGGTGTTCATTATTCTGTTTTACAAAATAAAGGCAAACATGTACAAATATTTAACATTTTTTAAAAAGTGAAATTTGAGTTACTTATTATACATGTGGCTGTCGATTATTTGAATACAGTCTTCGAAAATTTCAAAAAGGAAAATATTCTAATTAGAATTATTACTAGTCCAAAAGGAACGTTAGTCCTGAATGTGATATTAGTCTCGAAACAGTATTTTGCGTTGAATCACTGCAAACGGCGTATCACTTTTCAAATTGTTGACACCAAATATTATCGCCTTGCATTATATTTAAATATATTAAATGATGAAGAACCTGGTATGTATATGTATATATATATACGTATGTATATGTTCATATGGCATGTATATTTTTCACATTTTGAAAAAACAACGGTACGTAGAACCATCCAATTTTGAATAACAAAGTCCTCCATTCGAACATGGGCACCTGGAAGCCTGAGATTTGAGTTTTTTTTTTTTTTTTTTTTATTATCTATTTCATATTTTGTAAAACATTAACAAGTTTTTGATTAACAAACTCAACGATTTCAAACCTAGCAGTGGCAACACTGTACGGAATAAAACATTTTCAAGCGCGCGAGACTGTCTATCAGAAATTCTAAAGATATCCTGTTTTTAAATATTTTGTGATTCTGCTGTTGAATCGAATTTTATGTGGCTTAAGGGCCAACAACGAGATATTTAATAAATAAACACGCAAAATGTTAATAATAAAAACAAAAAAAAAAAAAAAAAGGTTTGTAAAGCCATCTTAATAAGAAAATTGAACATTGATATAATAAACTGAGAAGAAACTGAAAGAAACAAAAAATATATATATATATGCCAACACTTCACGCTGCATCCGGAATTCTAAACGTATACTACCATGCTGTTTTTCAAATTTTTGTAATTTTGCTGTTGAATCGTATGCGGCATGTTCCAACTAAAATTCCCTAAAGGGGTAACCTGATGTTCGTTTTTCCCGCGGCGGGGGGAAAAATACAGTTAGAACAGACAGGAACGAGGATATGCTAAGATGTATAGATCCGGCACTGTGCCGCGTATGATATTTCATATTTATTTTAATCATGTTTGTGTTACTGTTAACAATAAATAATCAAAAGACAACTACTGTGAATTAAATGACTGAACACTTCAGAACGAAGACACAACACAGCGTAAGTGCGAATAAAACAATAAAACGATGCTTAATAATAAAGCTAAAAAGAAAAAGAAAAAAAAAAAAAAAGAGATTTAGTTGGTGTGAGTGTAACAGCAGACTGCGAGCTCAGCGGGAAAATAGGAAACATTAACACAACTTTTTGGGCGACCGTTAAAATATGAAAACTTTTAGATTTTTTTCTCCTTTCTTATAAGGAAGTCTTTCGGTCTTAAATTTCACATTGATTAAGAAAGAACTTATATACATTTAAAAAAGTACTAACATATGAAATCATCTACTGCAGCTTTTGCAAAAATCTCGTAAATAAGTGTGGATTGTCAAAAGAAAATTTTCTATCAAAAATTTGGCAACATTTTGAAATTTTTGTTGTCACAAAACAAGTATCGCGAAATGCAGTTGTTTTCATATATTTTGTCTTTCCTTCGTGCTGCGCGCAAACTAATAGGCCCAGGGCTACGAAATTTGGTATATAGGTGCATCTAGAAAAGAGCCAATGCACTTCGAAGCGATTTTTTTTTTTTTTTTTTTTTTTCAAAATTCGAATCCGATTTAAAAAAAATCGGATTCGATAAAATCGAAAAGGTAAAATAAAAATTTTTTCGATTTTATCGTATCATTCTGATTAGTTTCATTCGTTTAGAAATGTGATTTTGGCAACAATTTTTCATTCAGTTGTGTACTGGACTGCTGACTGTTGAAAATCAGCCCTTTTGCCACTTAGGAACATGAGGGCGATAATTCTGCGCAGTTTTTAAATTTAATATTTCTCTTATACTGGACGTTTGTTGAGCGAAATCAACGGGAAGTTGGTTAATTTATTTATTAGGA